AAAGCTCATTGGCATTTAATAGGATCCAGAGCTCAAAAAGCCTTTACAGATCACCCACCCAACCCCCACCCCACCCACTCCCCAGATATTTTGATTGGCCCCCAGGCTTCTCCACCACCCGTGGGCTTTATCAGGCCAGTCATAGAGAGGCCCCTAGGCCACTCCCCAAGACCCCAGTACTTCATTATAATCCCATGAAATGGAAGCCAGAGTCAAAAGTTTTGGTGAGTAAAGGGGCCACACAAAGAATCTTCATTCTCCCACAAAAAGTTCTTTGTTTCTGTCTTGCTGCTAATGTCTAGTGAAGAGACCCCACTGCCTCTTTCTTTCCCTGGAATAAGAGAATAGCCCAGGCATGATTTTTTTAAAATTGCACACAAGAGGAGACTATCTTTGGCCGTATGATATTTCAGCTTCTCTGTTTGGGCACAAGCCACTGTTCCTTCATCTTTAGTAAATGAAGTCTTCGTCAACGTTCCAATTTTCTGTGCCAAAAAGAAGAAAACAAAGACGATACATGTTTGCCTTCTAACGATGGCTATGAATGTCAAGGCTAACAGCATCGTTAAAATAAACATAGGAGTCTGTCAGAGGCACAGTCAACACTGGAGTGATCCCAGCGGGAAGACACAGCTTTGTATATATACCGAATGGAATGCTACACTTGGACCTGATTCGCATCCCACCTTTGACACCTAGTAGTTAGGTGACCCTGGGTAAATCATTTCACTGCTCAGAAACTCAGATTCTTCATCTGTGAAATGGAGGTGACAATAACTGGAGTTTTTAGTTCACAGAGTTGTGAGAATCAAATGGCACAACATGCCTGAAGAGCTTTGCAGACAGACAAGAGACAGCCCAGGCAAGCAGGAAGAAGCTGACCTTGGAGTCACAGACTGGGCTAGATCATGTCTACGGTCCCTTCCAAGGGGCAGCTGACTGGCATAATGGAAAAAGCCCATGACTCAGAGTCAGGAAGATCTGAGTTTGAATCCTGCCTCAGACACACCCTAGCTATGTGACTGTGGACAAGTCCATTAACTTCCCTTCACCTATTTTCTCATCTGCAAAAAGGGATTAATAATGGCATCTGCCTCATGGGGTTGTCATGAGGATCAGATGAGAATATCTGCAAAACGCTTTGCAAATGTTAAAGCACTAGACTTAGAAATGCCAGCTGTAATGATGATGATGGTGATCATGGTGATGGTGATGGTGATGATGATGATGGTGGTGGTGATGATGGTGATGATGATGGTGGTGGTGATGATGATGATCTCTAATGTTCTTTTAGTTTATGCTGTCAGTTCAATGATTTCCTTAAACCCCAAGATGGTTTTAGAATTGATAACTTAGCATTAAGGCTCGGGTGGGAAAGGCGGTGTGGGATAATGAACTGAAGATTAGGTTTGAAATCAAGAAGACTCAAATCCATAGCCCATTCCTGAGGCTTCCTAGCTATATAATCATTGCTGTCTGAACATGTTTCCTTGTCTAAAATGGGAGATCAAACAGCACCTCACAGAGCTGTTGTAAAGCTACTACTGAGATAACATATGGAAGGTGCCTTAATAATCGTTAATGTCCATTTAGTGTTTTCAGGTTTGCAAAGTACATTATATGTATTATTTGGGGTGATATTCCTAGTCAGTAATAGCTGGCAAGATGCCAGCTTACTCTGTTTCTTTGAGTCTTGTTGAAGGGGCTGCCTTTCCTAGTTTATCATTATTATGAAGATTCCAGGATTTCAGCCCTGGGTGTGCCTCAAGGATCACTTAGTATGGATTCTTACCTGAGGATCCCCTCTACACCATTCCCAACAAGGGAGACTCTACCCTCTGTTTGAAGACCTCCGGGGAGGGGAAACCCACTGCTTCCAAAGACAGTCCATAGCTTGGAGCCCAGATGGAGGAGAAAAGGCAGTTACTCACCTGAGCTCTCCCAAATTCACCTTCAAATAACTTGAAACAACACCTTAAAGTTCTGGAGTGGCAGAACCAACAAAAGGACAGGGTGGAACAATTTTCCAGCATGAGAAAACTTAGAATATTTTCAGGAAATGTCTATCATACCAGGGTAAGAGTGAAGTACAATCCAGTGCAGGCTGTGTCCCAGGAAACAAGCAGTAGAACTTGGGGTCCAATGAATCAGCAATGGCAGCAGGCTCTTCTAGAGCGCTCAGCCCACAGATGGTAAGAAGGTCAGACAACTAGTCAGAAGAAGATTACGAGGGTCCCTTTGCTGGCACTGAGTGAACAACTCTGTTGTATTGCCCATACTCAAATCTGAGTCACAGTCCCAGGGTGAGAAGGAGCACTAGCACACCAGAGCTTTCCGTTTCAGGGGAGTGGAGACCCTGATCATAGCTTCAGGGCAGAAAAGAGTGCTTGTGGTCACTCACAGACCAGAGTATAGACCAAGAGAGTAGTAAACACATCTTTCCTTAGATCATACCACTTTGGAAGAATCAAAAGCTTACAGACCTCCAGAACTAGCTCTAAACAGCTGCACAAAAACTCTGAAGCTTGGGACAGTACCCCCTGCACTCTGGGAACAGAGTCCAGTTTTAATATGAAGTTAAAAGTCAAGAAATAGGCTGGAAAAAAGAGCAAACAACAACTACTACTGACCATAGAAAGTCATTATGGTGATAGGGAAGATCAAAACACAAATTCATAAAAAGACAACAATGTCCAAAACTACCACATCCAAAGCCTCAAAGAAAAATGTGAACTGGTCTCAGACCCAAGAAGAATTCCTAGAAGAACTCAAAAAGAGTTTTAAAACCTGAATAAGAGAGGCAAGGGAAAAATTTTGGAAAAGAAATGATAGTGATGTAAGAAAATCATGAAAAAAGAGTCAACAGCTTGGTAAAGGAGGCATAAAAAAAAATACTGAAGAAAATAACACCTTAAAAAACAGAATAGTCCAGATGTTAAAAAACCCAATAAAGAGATGAGTACCTTAAAAGGCAGAATGGCCATATGGAAAAAGATGTACAAAAATTTACTGAAGAAAAAAAATCCTTAAAAAGTAGAACTGGACCAATGGAAAAGGAGGTACAGAAGCTCAATGAATAAAATAACTCCTTAAAAAGTAGAATTGGGCAAGTGGAAGCTAATGACTCCATGAGACATCAAAAAGCAATAAAACAAAATCAAAGGAATGAAAAAATGAAAAAATGGAAGAAAATATGAAATATCTTTTTGGAAAAACAACTGATCTGGAAAATAGATTGAGGAGAGATAATTTAAGAATCACTAGAATACCTGAAAGCTGTGATCAAAAAAAGAGCCTAGACATGATCTTTCCAGAAATTTTCAAGAAAAACTGCCCTGATATCCCAGAACCAGAAGGTAAAATAGAAATTTAAAGACTCCACCAATCATCTCCTGAAAGAGATCTCAAAATGAAAACTTTCAGCAATATTATAGCCAAATTTCAGAGCTCCCAAGTCAAGGAGAAAATACTACAGAAAAAAATTCAAATATATAGTGAGAATTAAAAAAGATTTAGCAGCTTCTACATTAAAGGATCAGAGGACTTGGAGTGTGATATTTCAGAGAGAAAAGGACCTAGGATTATAATGAAGAATTACCTGCCCAGAAAAACTGAGTATAATCCTTCAAGGGGGAAGAATGGAAATTCAATGAAATAGAGTACTTTGAAGCATTCCTGATGAAAAGACCAGAGCTGAAAAGAAATTTTGACTTTCAAATACCAAGGCTCAAGAGAAGCATAAAAAAAAATATACAGGAAAGAAAATCATAAGGGATTCAAAAAGGTTAAACTGTTTATATTATTACAAGATACTTGTAATTCCTAAGAACTTTATCATTATTAGGACAGTTAGAAGAAGTACACATAGACAGAGGACCCAGGTGTGAGTTGAATATGATGGGATAATTATCTAAAAAATAAAATTAAGAGGTGAGGAAGAGGAAGACACTGGGAGAAGGAGAAAGTGAGAGGTAGAATGGGGTAAATTATCTGACATGAAAGAGTTCGGAAAGAGCTTTTACAGTGGAGATGAAGGTGGGGGTGGGGGGAGCTCATGACCCTTACGTTGGAATCAGCTCAAAGAGGGAGTAACATACAGGGGGCAGAAATCTATCTTACCCAAAAAAGAAATAGGAGGGGAAGGGAGGTGGGGTTGGGGGAAGCAATAGACAGAAGCAAAACACTTTTGAGGGTGGACAGAGTAAAAAAAGAGAGAGAGAAAAGAATAAACAAAGTGGAAATAGGATGGAGGAAAATACATACTAATTTGTAACTGAAAAAAAATTTATTGCAATTTTCTCTGATAAAGGCCTCATTTCTCAAATATGTAGAGGACTGAGCCAAATTTATGTTTTTGTACATGTATTTATATATACATATATGTGTGTATATATATATATATATGTATATGCACACAGATATGAAAGAGCCATTCCCCAATTGATACATGGTCAAGGGATATGAATGGGCAATTTTCAAACATGTAATTGGGGGAAAATAAAATATTAAATAAATTTTAAAAAAGAAAAGAAAATTGCAAAAGCAGCACATTCCATGGCATCCTTGGGGCAACTTCTCAGCATTAGCAAGTTTTCCCAGTGTCTTCCCAGGCCTAAAGTCACTGTTTCATACCTTCCATTTTAAGGGTTTGGTATGTTTTGTAACTAAGCAAGCCCTAGTAAATGCTCACGATTGAAAGTTACCAATAACAGTTACTTATGTATATGTTAAGGGTAATGTCTGTTGCAAAGAAAAACTACTTAGACTATATCCAATGCACGAAGGAATTGTTTTTATAACTGCAACAGAATCATTTGAAAGTATTTACCCTAAATCATGATTATGTGTTGATAGAAATATTGATTGACTCAGTATAAAATAAATGAATTTCAACAATAACGAAATACATACACACACATATACGCATACGTGTGTATAAATGTTATATAAATTGTGGAGTTGAACTGGTTGTGACTGAAAGATTTTCCACATTTTTTCAGAAAAGCTATTCCTGAAAAGTATCTGCTATTTCACAGCAGAAATGTTTGGACCAGACATCATTAAACTGTGAGTATAAATGGATCCATGTCAATGAAATGAACTTGCCAGGAGAGAGGAAAAGAGTGCAGACAAGAGAAAGGGGGTGGGTATTTCCAGTTTGATCTGCTTAGTAAAGGAGGGAAAAGATAAAACCTGGGCCATTTTTTGTCTTGTTCAAACAAATATATCCCCCCATTCCTCCCTCTGCACCCTCCCTCCGCTTGGGAGCTAGACAACATGGAAGGTTGGTTGAAATTCTAACCATGGAGCCATTAAGTTTTGTAACAAGAATTTTCACAGACCAAATGCCCTCCAGCCATCAGCCAGATAGGGGAACTTGCTCATATTTCTGCTCTTCACATATCTCTTTAATTGTTATCTATTCTTTCCCTGCTTCCTGTTACACATTTTCTCCTAATGCCCTGATTTGTTTTCCTGTTCTTTTGTTTTCCTTCTCTCTGTCTCTATACTTTTGGCCATGACTCACTTGGACAGTCCAGGCCATGCCCATCTGCAGATGAACTGGCTTCCCCATTGAAATGAAAATAATAAAGTTGTAGATTTGCACAGAGTTAATATTTAAGACTATAAGAATCAGAGGGCTACAGAGGGAGAAACAGGTTGGGGAAGGGTATTTTTCTCTAATAGTATTTTTCTTTTTAAAAGTTATTATTTATTTTTAGAATTCTTTTTAAATTTTGAGTTTCAAATTCTCTCTCTCTCTCCAACCCCTCCCCACCCACTTAGAAGGCAAGCAAAATGATATCAAATAAATATGCAAAGTCATGCAAAACATATTTCTATATTAGTCATTTTTTTCTTTTTTAAATTAATTAATTTATTTTTAGTTTTCAACATTCACTTCCACAAGATTTTGAGTGCCAAATTTTCTCGCCATCTCATCCCTCCCCCCAGCCCAAGATGGCATATATTCTGAATACCCCTTCTCCTAATCTGCCCTCCCTTCTATCTCTCCCCCCTTCTCTTATCCCTTTCCCCTTCAATTTTCCTATAGGGCAGGATAGTATATTAGTCATATTTTATTCAGTGAATTTTCATACCTCCTTTTCCATTTGAATAGTCTCCTTTTTAAGAAGTTCTTTTCTTCAGCATTTTCTGTGCCTCTTTTACTTTTCCCCATAAGAGGAAAGGATGACTACGGTTCTCATGTCCCAGGAGGGCTCTCTGAAAGATTCCTCCTCCTTGTTTAGCACCCTGGACAGCTGCTGCCTGACCATCCTTCTGAGTCAAAGAATCTCCAAAAAACAATGTTCTAAACTAGCATCTCCTTTCAGAGCTTTCCTGTCCAGTACCCTCTTCCCCTGGGTCATCCTTTGGACTGCTGTGGAGGAGTTGTGGGCAAGGTCTTAGGCTTCTGTCAGGGGCTGGTGCTTTGCCCTTATTTCCCATCAAGGACTGGGATAGTACTTTCTGTGCTATCATGAACCCAGGCAGATACACAGTAGAACCACACTGTGGAGGACCAAAGTCTTTCATTTGCTGCTATCCAATTCTCTCCCATCTTCCCAAGGGCTCCCCTTCCCTGTCCTGCCCCCTCATACACAAGCCAGACTTCTAGGAAGTGTAGTGTGGCAGAGAGAGGGAAAGGAAAAGGAAAGGAAGGGAATAAGTGTTTATATAGTGCCTCCTATGTGTCAGGCACTGGGTAAAGAGCTTTACAGGTATGATCTCATTGGTCCTCACAACAACCCTGGGAGGTAGGTGCTGTTATTATTCCCATTTACAGTTGAAGAAACTGAGGCAAGCAAAGGTGAAGTGACTTAGCCAGTGTCACACAACCAAATCTGAGGCTGGATTTGAACTCAGGTCTTCCTGACTCCAGGTCCAGTGCTCTGTGATCCACTGCACCACCTAGCTGCCTCCCAGAGCTGAGAGCACAGAACTTGGAATCAGAGAAACCCCAGGTTCACATCCCATCTCTGATGTTTATTACCTGTGTGACCATCCTGTCTCCATTTCCTCATCTGTAAAATGGAGCTCATAATCTCTCAGTCCCTAGCTCCCAGGGCTGAGGATGAGATGAGATCATGCATAGAAAGGACTTTGCAAACTTCACAGCACTACCTCTCTGTCTGAACCCCACTCCCCACCCCTGGCCGCCTGCCCCTCTCCTCCCATGTCCTCCCTGGATCTCCCTAAGGCCAACGCCTTATGCTCTTCTCCCAGTCCCCAGTTCTGGGGACTCGGGGTGGGGGGGCAGGGAAATGCAGGCTTGTAGGTTCCTCTGATTTGCATTATTTACCACACCGCCTCTGGTGGTTTAATGCTGATTGACAGGTTAGACAAACAGTGATGGGGGATGTTGGACAAGTCATCTTCTCTCTGCTCTTCACTGAGTCGACAAGAAAAGTCATGGGCAGCAGTCTGGGGGTTCAAAGAACTCAAGGCCATTCTAGAAGTGCCAGGATGAGAGCAGGACCTGTAGGAGCCTGACCCTGTGCTTCCCCCACCTCTTCAAGAGGAGCTGGGGCTTGGTGACCTTCCTTGTGGGATCCAGGCTGATCTTAATGAGGCAAATAACCCAGCCTGGATAGGGGCCTGTAAAATGGTCAGAGGAGCAGCAGAGGCCACACCAGAGACCCCGAGGCCTGAGCATGAACTAGCTTCAAAGTGCTGGGAACATGGGCAGCACCTTGCACTTCTGCAGGTACTTACCGAACCCAGAGCCTTGTGCTTAATTCATTGCCTTGGTTACTAGACATCTTAAAGCCTCTGGGCCTTCTTTGCCTTCTCCATCCCCCCTCCCTGATTGACCACCCAGGCTTCCTGCTCCCTGGCCCTCTTGGGAATCCCCCCATCACTCCTTCCCTCCCCATCCTCAGGCTCAGGGTCTCCTTTGTATCTGGCCTAAACCATGACTACCATATCACCCTGTCAACCAATTCTCACCGCTGTCAGATTAGCCTGTTACACAGATCCAGGCACGCCATTCTCCAGCTCAGAACCCTTCTGTAGCTCTCAATTGCCTCCTTAATAAGGACCAGACTCCTCAGCTCGGCAGAGCAGCAAAGTGTCCCTTGGTTCCCGACCCAGACAAAGGTCATGGGAAATCCCCTGGGCCCATCCCTGCATCTAGTCAGGCCTTCTCTCCTGAGCAGGCCATTGGGCTTGAGCAAAGCAAAGGCTCAGTGACTGCTCCCCAGGCCCCAAAGAGTCCCAGCCTCCATCCAGTAAAGAAACCCACCCTTGCAATGGAAGCAGCAGCCTACAGCTAGTCAGCTAGTCTCAGACTCTCCTCAATGGCTCTCAGGTGGGGATGAGTTTTAAGCTGCAGCAAATGGACCCATGGTTCTCCAGTCAGCCAGTAGATAACTCATTCTCTGCTGTGTGCAGAGTGCAGTGAGCTGCAGGGGGAGGGCATGGCTGCCACAATCATCTTTCTTAATCAGTCAGCACCTATTGAGCACCTACTGTGTGCCAAGTGATAGACTTTCTTACACAGAGAATTTTCCACATCACTCCTCTACCCAAAAATCTTCAGTGAGTCCCTATACCCTCTTGAGTAAGAGAAATTCAAAATAAAGGCTGTGTGAGGCCTAAGGGGGAGGATCCCTTCTGCCTTTAGTGACTAGGAAAGGTTGCCTGGAGGAGAGGATTTCAATAGAGGAGATAGAAACTCAGCAGAAAAAGAGGGTCAGACAGGGGATCTCTAGGGCACAGGTAACATGGTGGATACAGAGGGTTAGGGAGAAGGAACCAACCTCCCTCTCCCAGGGCACTCCAGCCCCACGGGGCACAGCTCAGGCACATTTCTATGAAGCAGCAAAACACTTCAGATGTCTGTCCCTGGGCTAGCTTGTCCCAGCAGCCTGGAGGGAGGGATGACCCTCCCCTAGAGATCTGCCCTACCGGTGGATTGGCACAGTGGAATTTAGCCTATGTGAGTAAGATTAGTGGAGAGGGGGAGGGAGTGCACATCATTCTCTTCCCATCAGAGGTTAAGGCCCAATCAACTGTGCCGGCCGCGCCGTGCACTCTCCTCCTATAAGGAGCAGGCTGCCAGAGTCACACTTACCAGTCTTCGGGTACTATCCGGATAAACACACAGAGACGAACCCATCAGGAGGTGCCAACACCCGAGCTTTATTCAGAGGCCATCACAGCAAGGCCAAGCAGGAAGGCCATAGCAAGAGAGCAGGAGCAAAGAGAGCGCGTGCTCCGACCAGGACCCGTTCCTTAAGTACCTACTTAGCCCCTCCTCCTCAGCCCGCCTACTAGTCATTGATTGTAGGGTCAGATACCGGAGGGGGATGTCTGAGTTTAGCGCACCAAGGGAGAGGAAGTGACGCAGGAGGCTAGGACCGGATACAGGAAGGAGGCGTCTGGGATTAGTGCATAGACAAAGAGAGAGCACGTGACCTAGGAAGTCAGGCCCAGATACCGGGAGGAGGCGTCTGGGGTCAGTGCTACACAAAGGGAAGGTACGTGACCCAGGAAGTCAGGAAGGACACAGGAAGGAGGCGTCTGGGGTTGACGTTGCACTTAGGGAGGGGACTAAGCAAAGGGAACTTTGCCTTTGCCGTCCCACTCCCACGTGGCACAGCCCCCTGCCTCAGGAGCACGAGCTCCGGCTACTTCCTTGTATCCTGTTCCTTCCCCAGCTCTACATAGCACTGCCCACTGCCTCAGGAGCGTGAGCTCCGGTTACTTCTCCATATCCAGCCCATCCCAGTTCACCACAACTCCGCCTACCACAGCCCCTGCCTCGGGAGCATGAGCTCCGGTTACTTCCTAATACCCAGTTCCTACCCCATCTTGCCACAACCTCTACTTGGCAGTAGCCAACATCAGACAGTCCCTCACAATCAACATTTCTTTTTTTTTTCAATTTTAATATTTTGTTTTTCCCAATTACTCATAAAAACAATTTTAACCTTTGTTTCTACAATTTTGAGTTCCAAATTCTCTATCACCTTCCTTTTCCTCCCCCCCATTGAGAAGGTAAGCAGTTTGATAAAGGTTATATATGTGGAGTCACGTGAAACATATTTCTTTATTAGTCATGTTATGAAAAAATACACATCCAAAAAAAAAAACCCTAGAAAATAAAGTTTAAAAAAAAGTCTGCTTGTATCTGCATTCCAATTCCAATCATTTCTCTCTCTGGAGGTGGATGGTATTTTTCATCATTTGGATATGTCTTGGGTCATTGCATTGATCAGAGTAGCTAAGTCTTTCCCAGTTGATTATACTTACAATATTGCTGTTACTATGTACAATATTCTCCTGGTTCTGCTCACTTCATTTTGCATCAATTCTTGTAAGTATTTCCAGGTTTTTCTGAAAGCATTCTGCTAGTTGTTCCTTATAGTACAATAGTATTCCATCACAATCATATATCAAAACTTGTTCAGCAGTCCCTCAACTGATGGACTTCCTTTCAATTTCCAATTCTTTGTCACCATAAAAAGAGCTGCTGGGGCAGCTAGGTGGCACAGTGGGTAGAGCACTGACCCTAGAGTCAGGAGGACCTGAGTTCAAATCCGGCCTCAGACATATAACACTCACTAGCTGTGTGACCCTGGGTAAGTCACTTAACCCAATTGCCTCACCAAGAACAAAACAAAACAAAATATAAAAAGAGCTGCTATAAATATTTTTGCATATAGAGGTCCTTTTCCTTTTTTTAATCTCTTTGGGATACAGACCTAATAGTGATCTTGCTGGCTTATAAAGTGTGCCCAGTTTTATAGTCCATTGGGTGTAGTTACAAATTGCTCTTCAGAATGGTTGAATCAGTTCACAGCTCTACCAAAAGTGCATTAGTATCCCAATTTTTCCACATCCCCTCCAACATTTGTTATTTTCCTTCTCTGTCATATTAGACAATTTGATAGGTTTGAGGTGGTACCTCAGAGTTGCATTAATTTGCATTTCTCTAATCAATAGTGATTGATAGCATTTTTTCATATGACTAAAGATAGCTTTGATTTCTTCATCTGAAAACTATCTGCTCATATCTTTTGACTATTTATCCATTGGAGAATGACTTGTAATCTTAAAAATTTGACTCAGTTCTCTACGTATTTGAGAGATGAGGCCTTTATCAGAGAAACTTGCTGTAAAAATTTTTCCCAGTTTTCTGTTTTCCTTCTAATTTTGGCTGTGTTGGTTTTGTTTGTGCAACCAATCAACATTTTTTAAAGTGTGTTCTGGATAAGACCTCCAGTCAATCCACAGCCTAGTAGTTTATATCCTTCAAACATCTTTGCTTCTTTGCAGGGCACTGATTAGAGACAAACTCAGTTAGCTTTTAGAAAGGGGGATTTCCTAAAGTGGAATAGTAAGCATAAGACATTCCACCCCACCTCCAGAAAAAAAACCTATGACACATTCTCCCACCAGTCCACAGAGTCCAGGAGAAAGTGGGCTCATGCTTAGAAAGCCCATGTGGCCAAGGGGTAACACACAGCTCCTGGATGCTGTCATTCTTGTTCTTCCCCTCATGGGGTGCACAAAGAGTTACCCTTAACCACAGTATAACTTCTTTGCTGTCCTCCTTGTCCAAATCAGATACTGTTGTCCACTGGCCCCAGAACACTGATAGGACACTGACAGGAAAAATGAGAAGTCTAAAATCCTCCAGACCCTCCAAAACTCAAAAGGTCACCCTCTGGCCAAAGGAGGCTAGGGAGGGAGACTGAGGCCAAGGCCAGAGCTCAGGTCCCTTCTTCTCCTCAAAGTGGTTCCTCCTTAGGGTTTGCCTGGGATGTTCCCGTCACCCCAGTCTTTGAATAACTCCAGTTCCCAATTCACTTGCTGTTTTGTAGATGACCCCTAGGTCATGGCCAAGTTTGCTCAGGCTATCTGAGCATGAATCTCAAGCATCCTCCAATTCAGCCAAGGACTTGAGTCATTCGGGATTTTTGGGATTCAGTCTAAAGCCAATGACGGATGGATTGATTGAAAGATGGCAACTTGTTCTCTCATTAAGGCAACTTCTCGCTTCCTCTAAGTGGGGTGGGATGACTTGATTGATTTATTCAATCAACATCAGGCTTATATTCATGAATATTTTAATTCAATTAATTAATATTTAAATTTAATTCATAAGAAGGAGAAATGTCTTAAAATTAAAACAAAAAAGCTTGAACGATGCCTAGGAGAAGAGTTTAGAGGCATCAAACTCTCTGAGTGCTCATACTCTTGGGATGAGTTCAGAAAGTAACGAAACATGCTCCCCATAGAACAGGCCTGCACAACCTGCCTCCAAGGTGGCGGGTTGCAGGTTGGGCAGGCCTGCTATAGAATGACTGCATCATTCATTTAACCCACCTTCATTTCATTTATCATCATTTTGAAAGGGACCCCAGTGCTGTCAGCTAGATTCTGAGGCTCAATACAGAGCTCAGCACTTCTCCCCCCGCGGCCTCATTTTAAACACTGCTGAGAACAACATGGCAGACAATCACCTGGCCCCAGAAGCCCTGCTGGGTAAATTCAAAGGCCAAGTAGAAATGAGCTCAGGGCAGCAGAACTGATTCTGGGCTCTGACCTCTCTGTTCAAGCAGCTTCAGCCCTTCGCAGCACAGGAAACATTCCTGACCTTTCCTTCGCTCCATTTCCCTACAGGCTCAGCTCGAAGATGAATGCGGACGTGGTCTGCCATGCCCTCCACTTTTGTAAACAGAAGGCCGGACAGCCTCTTTGCCACCTCTACAAGCCTCCCCAGGTGAGTGGTTTTTCATTCACCTCTCCCCCCTGAATACCTGGAATTTTCTGGGAAATGCTAGAAAGAACTGTTGGGCTTCAATTTTTCAGCAGAATGGGGATTTGATTCATTCAATTATTGACCTTTTATTAAGCTCTAATTATGTACAAGGTGCTGGGTCTACAGAGACAAGACAAAAAAAAAAAGGATTAAGCAATCTTTGACCAAGAGTGTACATTCTGATGGAGAATGTAACACAGATGTAACAGGCAGGCACTTTGGCCCCAGGCGATCAAGCAGGTATTGATTAAGCACCTAGTATGTGCCCAACACTGTTCTAGGTGCTAAGAAAACAGGTACAACGAATGAAACTATTCCTCCTCACAGTGAACTGACATTCTAAGCGGGGAGACAAATACATACAGCAACAAATATAAACCAAATGAGACCCAAGTGGATACGAAGTAAATACAAAGAGTTTGGGAGGCAGGCTACTGGCAGACTGAGAGACGGGAGGAATCAGGAAAGGTTTCACGAAGAGGGTGGTGCTTGAGTGCAATTAGGGTTCTGGGAGGTGAGGGGACGGAGGGACTGTATTCCAGGCGTGAGGGATTGCCTGGGCAGAGGTGTGGAGGCAGGAAACAACAAGAAACAGAGAAAGCCAGTTTGAATTCACTCCGGAGTGCAAGGGGGGAGGGATTTTCATTGAGACTGGAAGCATAAATTGGGGCCAAATTGGGTAAGGCTTTCAAAGCCAAATAAGAGAATGTACATGGGATTCTAGAGGCAACAGGGAGCAAGTGGAGTTGGCTGAGGAGAGGAGTAACCTGATCGGATCCACACTTAAGGAAAATGCTTTTGGCAGCAGAGTTTAGAATAGATCAAGGTAGGGACACTTGAGGCAGGGAGGATGATCTAGACCGGATGTGATCAGAGCTTCAGCGTCGAAGGTAACTGAATCAATGCCCATCTGTCGCAGCTTCTTCTGCCCACTTGCTCTTGACAACAGATAGAATGCATTCTCCCTGAAAACAGAGATCATTTATGTTTTGCTCTTGTATCCTCAGCACCTTGCATAGGGCTGGGCACGTAGTAGAGCAAATGAAACCATGAAAGAACCTCAGGGTATCAACATATTACATGACTGTGGTCTCTCCTCTGAGAAGTTCCACCTTTTCTCATTAGTTTAGCAGTGGCATGGATTAGCCAATCAGATCATGGCTCAGCACCCAACCTACCAGCTCCTTCTGTCATTTCTTACCCTGCCATTTCCCCCTTAAAGTTCTTATATAGCCATACAACCATCTCATCAGACTACTAGAAATGAAAAAAACAAAAACAAAAACCCTCAATGCACCAAAGACTCACCTTGCCCAGTTCTTCCCTAGTTTCCTGCATCAATGCCCTGGCCCAACCCAACCCCAATTAGCCAACTGACCAATGGCAGCAATTCATCTCCCCCAAACACTCTCAACAGTGAGGTGAAAAGCACAAAGGGCTTTCTACTCACTATGACCTCTTCAAGATGGAACACCATCCAGCCATTGAATAGGGCACAAGAACTCAGGGCTCTAGACTGATTCCTTCCAAGAGAGGCATGGGATTAGAATGTAAGCTCCCTGAGGGCAGGGACCATGGTTTTTTTGTTGTTTTTTGGTTTTTTTGTCTTTCATTGCATTCTTAATGCTCAGTGCAGTGCCTGGCATGTAGTTAGCCCCTAACAAATGCTGGTGCTACTAGTCAGCATGTTTGGCTGTTTAGAATTGCTTGTGGCATCCGACACTCTCAGATGCTTCCTTTAACTGTGTCTCTGTCCCTGTCACACAAAGTATTAGTTTATTTGGAGGGTTTTTTGGGAGGGGTTCCACATTATGGGGCAAAAACCACCTGGATGTCAGATCAATCCTGCCCAGCAATGGGTTTAGAGGAAATTCCCAATGTGGGTAGGGTGCCATTTGCTCTTCCCTCTACCTTCATGTTCCGCAGTCACCCATTGTGGGTCCCCAACCCCAACTTCCCCAGTCACTTCACAACCATCTGGCCATGATTCTCCCTCATGCTCAGTCCGAGTTGTGAGTAGAGGTTGGTGCAGAGGAGAATAATACTGTAAAAAACAAACCGTCTCTCCTAGACTTGTTCTGAGGCTCTCATGAGAGAATCTGTCTAAAGTACTATGTGTAAGTTGAAAGGGCTGACCAGCTCCCACTGCTAGTAGTATGGGGAGAGGCGGATGATTGCGTTCTAGCCCTGCCTAGCACTGACCCAATGCTGATTCAAGCAGTCAGTAGCACGTCTAGTAGGAAGTGAGGACTCTGGGCATGCTGGGAACACTCATCCCCTGTGGTCATGTGCCGTCTTTGGGAGACTTTGGGGGGCAGGACTCTGTTGCCAAGCACTACAAGACCCCCTCTAGGGGTATCTAGTGTGGAGACAGTTACAATATGATAAACATGTTCTTAGATGAAGGAGATGAAGCTGTCATCTTGTGTCAGAGACCCCTCAGGGCAAAGAGAGGAGGGAAAACAAGGTCTGGACTGACAGGAGGCCCATCTGGGAGAATTTCCAGGGAGTGGGGGTGGGGGGGTGAATTTCTGTCTCCTTTGCTGATCTCCATAGCACATTGTTGATCTCACACTGACGTGTCTGTGCTGCCCAGCACATGTCTAAACACCCTTCCCAAATATCAGTAGTTCAGGACTATAAAATGGAAATTAATTACATGATGAGGAATGCTAATCCACCACCCACTAGAACAAGAGAAAGCATTCTAAATTCAAATAGAATGATTAGGGATTTGAGTCTTTATGGATCAGCCATACAGCAGAGCCAAGCCAGACTGGGGACAATCAAGAATTTGCTTGTGTCCAGCCATTCATTCAAGTAACAAGTCTTTATTTACCATCAAATCACAATCTGTCTGAACTGGAGGAAATGTCAGAGGACTTCGAGGCCACTCATGACCTGAGGAGAAAACCCCAACAACCTAGATACCAAGTGGCCCAAAAACATTCAGGGAGAGAATTGGCTACACCCATTTCATTGATTGATCAAGCAGTCATAAGCATGTACTAAGTGCTTTCTCTGTGCCAAGCACTGTGCAAAGTGCTGGGAACACAAAATAGAAGCACAAACAAAAAATGAACCCTATCCCTGCCCTCAAGGAGCTCCCGGTGTGAAAAGGCCCTGCAGGGAATGAACTCATATCCATCTTGCACATATATGTACAGTCACTTTTACAAAGGAAAAGTTCACAATCCTGAAAAAAGAAATCTAGGGAAAATTAATAAGGGAGAAGATTAAACCATCTCCGTATCTGCATGTGATAAATCAAACAAAAGATACACAGTAAAATAAGAAAGTTTTATCCTCTTCTGACAAAGTGAATAAAAAATTTAGTGAAGCTAAATTTAACAATTCTGAAGTGGATATAAATAGACTGAAGTCTTCACAGAATTCAACAGAGTGCTCAAAAAAACCTGGAATTTATAGATATGTGGAAAGAACTTAATGGAAAAATAGGGAATACACACACACACACACACACACACACACACACACGAAATGTCAGTGTATATATATGTGTGTGTGTGTGTGTGTGTGTATAATATATACACACACATACACATATACACATTCATATACATCATGAGGATAATGCTTAGCCCATTGCCTGGCCATAGTAGGTGCGTCATTGATGCTTGTTTCTTCAACTTGACTTATTGACGGAATCCATGACTTCATTGCTATAGAGAATTCTCGGATGAGGGAGTTCCCTTTACCAATACGATGCCTCTTCTCTGAAACTTATGGTCATAAGAATTCCCTAGGAAGCAATGAAAGGCTAAATGACTTGCCTGTCCCCCCAGCTCGTTCATGTCAGATGTGAGGATAGAACTGAGGTCTTCCTGGCTCCCAGGGACAGCTGGCTCCCTGTCTACCCTACCATATTCCTTTTCTAATACACATTATAAATACACTATATACATTTATTGATACATATAAACAATATATACAAGATAATCACAAAAAATCATGTTCTAGGATGTAGGAAACTCCTCATTAAATGTCCAAAGGCAGAAATAAGTAACCCTCCTTTTACATGCCACAGCACAACAAATTTAGAAGGAAACCAAGCTAAGCTGACCAGAAGGCATCGGATCAACCAAACACAACTGCATGAATAATCTCTAGGTTAAAGAAGAAATTTTAAAAACCATCCAGATTGTTTTAATGATAATGCAAGTAGAATGTATCAGAATTCATTTGTTATCATTTTTGAGTCATTTTCAGTCATGGCCAACTCTCCATGACCCCATTTGGGGTTTTCTTGGCAAAGATACTGGAGTGGTTTGCCATTTCCTTCTCTAGCTCATTTTACAGATAAGGAAACTGAGGCAAACAGGGTTCAGTGACTTGTCTAGGGTCACACAGCTAGTAAGTATTTGGGGCCAGATTTGAACTCAAGATGAGTCTTCCTGACTCCAGGCCCCACACTCGACCCACTGCACCAGCTAAATTCATAGGACACAGCCCAAGTAGTACTTAAAGGCTGGTCTGCATTTATCGAAAAGAAAAGGAGAAACTCAACTGAGTCTGCATTTAAAGAAATCAGAAAATAAAGAAAGTGATATACCAAAAGAAAGAGAAAAGGAGACACTATCAATATTAGTACAAAAATTAATCAAACGGAAAATAAAAGAACAATTGAATTGATTTCTAAAACCAAGAGATAGATTTTGAAAAGACCAAGAAAATCAGTATGTATTTAGGAAACAGTATAAGAAAAAGAAGAAAGAAAATGCAAATTACCAAAATTACAAGAAAGAAAAGAAGATCAAAACAAACCCTAAAGAAATGTTTTAAAATATCAGAGATAAGATCACGTTAACGCATTTGAAAATGCCATAGAAAGTGAGAAATATCAACAAAACCAGAAAATACCTAATTAGGCAAAATGGGAAATAAATCATCTCGTGTCCAACCACGGGGAAGAAATCAATGGACAGGTCTCTAAGGAGCTT